GCCCCCACATGCAAAAAAGGTTTGCCCCGTCCCTTTTCAGCCAAGCACTAATGCCGCAATACAACCCAGAGCGGTGTTTCTCAACCTTGGCAACTTCAAGACGGGTGGACTTGCCTTGATATATTAAACTCATCTTACACCAGTGTTTCTCGACCTTGGCAACTTCAGCAAGGCTGGCTGAGGAATTCTGGGAGTTGAAGTCCACCCGCCTTGAAGTTGCCAAGGTTGAGAAACTTTGGTGCAAGGTGAGTTTAATATATCAAGGTAGGATTTTGCTGGCTTGAGAAATAAAGGTTTCTAGGGGCAGCCTGAACCCCTGAAATAAATTACCCCTTTCTGCTTCAGTCCTCGTTTTCCTCTCTTCTACACCATTGCTGCTTTTAAAAAGAAAAAAAAAATCAAATTATGACATGGAGATCCTCCTCGCATCCTCCTCTCCAGCTCTGAGAGTTTATCCTTAATGAGTTTTTTTTCCTGAAGTCACACGAACAAACGTCACGCTATTCCACGTTCTGCCCTCTTCGACAGGCGAAATGGCGAAACGGTGGTTGAAATGTTTATAAACACTGTAAACCAGTCAGAGTATGAAGAAGGGAAGTTAGAAATTAAATATTTACTTACTTTATCCCAAGCAGCATCTTTTCTTTTTTCTTTTTTCTTTCTCCTTTTTCCTTTTTTCTCCCTTTCAACATTTTTAAATAACACTAAATAACAATACAGAAGAGAGTTTAGTATTAAGTATTCAGCTCAAAGTTTGAAACCCTTCTCGTAAAATAATTCAGGGCATTTTGCAACTGTTTATCAGTGGCCCACTTAGCAATAATTGTACAATTTAAGCAACCATAGTATTTTAGCCGGGAAAAATTACGGAGCAACCATCAAACATTCAACACAGCCAAGAATGTTGCTAAGGAGGAACATGGACATGAAGCCAGCAAGAGTCAAACTCACCTTGAAGAAGCTTATTTTGCATAGATTTGAATAATCATATTTTTAAATAGGCCTATGAGGCAAGTTTAACATATAAATGAGGCCCGTCTAGATTTATGCAGTTATCCTTAAATACTGGAATACCAACCGTAGGAATTCCACACCGATATGGATGACCGTCGATAGCAGTGTTTCTTAACCTCAGCAGCTTTTAGATATGTGGACTTCAACTCCCAGAATTCCCCAGCCAGGATTCTTACACAAAACTGAAAATGTTTGGCACAGCTTTAAAAGTCCAATTATAAGCCGAGCGGCCTAAAGATCTGTTTTCTTTTTTCAAAAAACAGATTGCAAGACTGAGAACAATTATTGCAATATCAGACAGTTCATTTTTACCAGAATTGTTTTTACTTGCCCGTCTTAAACTATAGAGTGGTGTTTCTCAACCTTGCCGACTTGAAGGTATGTGCACTTCAACTCCCAGAATTCCCCAGCTTTCCTTTAGGAAGGATATTTAGAATTTTTTTAGTTTTATTTTGCTGTGACTTTGTTAACCATAAATTTAAATTATAAGTACATTCTATTTATCCTTTACTGTCATATTTCTTTAATATACATATCAAAATTGATGTTTAAGTTTTTTTATTGTCTATTTCTATCGAGCTGGAACCCATCACCCTATTTTCTATAGAAATATCACTTTGAATAATGCAAATCTGAATAATGAGACCGTTTCATGGGATTCATTAACCCCAGTAATCGAGACCTACTTGTACCTGTGCAAAACTTTTTAAAAATTCATTTTATTTATTTATACCCCATGTTTCCCACAAGAGGGCAGTAGAGATTTTCTTTAATTTTTCTGATTGCCTATTTCCTTAAAGCAGTGTTTCTCAACCTCAGCAACTTTAAGATGTGTGGACTTCAACTCCCAGAA